ATAAAGAAAGAGGTGTATTCGGTGACAATCAACACGCGCGAACAGCTAGTTGACCGAATTTCTCTCGCAGCTCGAAAGATACAAGAGAAGATGAATAATATTAACCTTGTGGAAGAGATCGGAAGGAGGTTCAGGCACTGCATCCAAGAAAATGGAAAACACATAGAGCAACTATTAAAATAAATGTATGAGATAAACGAAGATCAGTGTTTCAATTTGATTAATCATTGGAAAATGCCCAATCAGTTCAATGAACTGATCTACATTGGACTCGAGAAAAAAAAACAGAAAATTTTCAATTTTCATCATGCGTTCAATTGTTTTTCTTGTCACACTTTTCATACCGTCACTCCGCGTGGCGATCAAGTGTGCTATGCGCGCTGCAAACAGACGTCAACAGCAACGCACGGTGGGGTTGATTTTTTTGTTTAGTACGAAATTGCGACAAAACTAAACAAGATAGAAAATTGGTGTCAAACAGAGAGTTGTAGAGCGCATTGAGAGGCATCTTTTGGTTAGACAAAACAATATACTTATTACGTATTTATGAAATAATAAGGAAAAACCGAGGGGGGCGACACATTTAAATCTCAATTTGAGATGCTCAAAACATCTCACACTAGCGAATCAATCTTCGAAAAATCTTCCTGCATTTCTCGCATCTACTTGCATCGAGCATCATCTTTTTGCAGGAAATCTTCAGAATCGTCATCAATCTTCTTTCTATCTACTCAGCGTGTGAGCAGCTAGCCACAGCAGAACACAATCTTTCCTGCAGCGTAGATAGAGTCGTCCCCCTCGGGAAAAACACAAGTTTTAGACTCGTTTACCCTAAAGAGCCTGAATTTATAAAGAGGCGACATCTTATCTATTTGACAGGTCTTCTGTTCGATTGGAATGACTTTTCCTATGACTTTGACAGACAATCGATTGTTCCAATTTTGACATGTCGTCTCTTTATAAATTCAGGCTCTTTAGTTTACCCCTAAAATGTGTTTAAATGCAGCCTACTTAAAGTAGAAATGACACTTTTAAGTAGAAAATTTACCAAGCTATCCAATGGAGACAAGAGTTTTGAACAGAAAAAGTTCAAGAACTTAGTAATCTTTGAGATTTGATCATATGCGTAGAACAATTTTGACGTACACACTAAGATTTTTTTACAGGAGTCAGTATTTTTTTACTGGGTTTTTGAATTGCTGAAAAAGTCGGTAAAAATTCAAATGACCGTTATCCGTAAGGAATCAATGAAATCGACCAATTTTATTTTCTATCATTAAATGGGGTTAACAGAACTAAGTATGTACAAGTTCAGTGCAAATTTTCTCATTAATAAATTTTCCACAGATTTTTAAACTTACCGAACAGTTCTCGCGTAACATTTGAAAAGGGCCTATGATCAAAATGTAAACAAACCGATTTTTGATACCATTCTGTAGCACTGGTAATTAGCTACCAGTCGTATAGGAATGTTCCGTATTATCGATAAAAATCATTAAAAATAACTTGATTTTAAAAACGGCCGATCCACGAAATTTTTCCAATCATTCATGCTAAAACGGCCTAACCTCGGGCCTAACATATATTTTTTTCGTTCGATGAGGTTCCATTCATAAGCCTAGCGACGTAGAAGGGACGATGATTGAAAAATTTCAAATCAAAGCTAGGCCCTACTGCTTGATTTATGATGACAAGCACAACGGCTTAACAAAAAGGGCCTAACCATTTAAGGATTCACAAAAAGGCTTATTACTGTGATATTAAATTTTTATCGATTTTCATGTATTTTTGAAAACGTTTCGCATGTTTTGGATGTTGTGTACTGAGATATAGTTACTATTGTTATTGTGAACAATATAAATGCCTAAAATACTTCAATTTATTTATATAGGAATTAAATACTGGCGGAAAAATTTACAATTCATTTTCTGGATTGTTTACATTTTGGACATAGGCCCTTTTCAAATGTTACGCGAGAGTTACGCAATTCAAAAACTCGGTAAACCCGTACTGACTCGATTAGTGTGTAGGACAACGTCTTTGATTTCTATATGGGGGTTCACTATGTGAAAACCGAAAATGGAACATGTACCAAATTAAGAAAGATTTTGAACGTTAATAACTCAGCTGCCCCTGGTCCAATTTCAATAATTTTATTACCAATCGATCAGAAATATGGCTACGCATCGATAACAATGCTTTCGAATGTTGATTTTCAACAAGAAACTATTGAAAAACTGGTAAATTGCCAGCATTGTCCAACTAACTAACTATTAACTAACAAATCCACCAATTACCTATGTACATGCATACCCGCATAAACGCGAACCATAAATTGACCTTACCTAAAATGGTTAAAAATTGTTTATAATCCCTGCTAAACTTTAACTGAAATGGTTATGGAACTTTACATGAACGTTTAATGATAAAGTTTCAACCTTATGTATTATGGTTTTTTGGAAGCGGACCTTACAAATAATGGGTTGTTAAGAACCATTACCATTCCAAATTCTTGTTTTCTCCATACATTTTCGGAAAGAGAACTATATTAGAACCTTTTAACTTATGGTTTGAGAACTTTAATGGTAATGGTTATGGTAGTCAGTAAGGTCCACGAATGGTTTTGTAACATCGATCAACTTTATGTGGAATATATCGCGAATTGGTTGCCTGTAATTTACTGATTACCAATTCACGATATATTCCACGTAAAGTTGAGCGATAATACAAAACCATTAATGGACCTTACTGACTACCATAACCATTACCATTAATGTTTTCAAATCATAAGTAAAAACCGGTAAAAACGTTCTTATATAGTTCTCTTTCTGAAAATGTATGGAGAAAACAAAAATTTGGAATCGTAATGGTTCTTAACAACCCATTATTTGTAAGGTCCAGTTCCAAAAAACCATAATACATAAGGTTGAAACTTTATCATTAAACGTTCATGTAAAGTTCCATAACCATTTCAGTTAAAGTTTAGCAGGGATTATAAACAATTTTTAACCATTTTAGGTAAGGTCAATTTATGGTTCGCGTTTATGCGGGTATGCTGCTTCCCCAGCACAGTCGTCAGAGAATAGTAAGTAGACGAAACAAGTCGAAGTAGCCTCCGATCCTCGGGCGCGTGCGAATAGGAAGGATGGAATCATAGAGGTAACTCTAAAACCACTGGGTCCTGAAGAAAATCATTATTATTTTTGGCTCACTCAGTACCAGAACAACGGTCCCGAGCAGTCCAAAGCTATTTCACTCACCCCTGCATGTTCTGCATGAATCCACACACCCCTGATGTTATCTGTCAAACTTTCATAGCGAATCAAAACAAACATAGTGTAGTAATAGAATTTCAACTAGAATAGGGTACGTTAATCGTTTGCTTGGGACCAATAGGCTACTAAAGTGGTGAGCCAATTTAAAATCGTTAGTTTCGTATTGATTGTTGATGGAATTGCGTAATATTTTGCACACTCATCGCCATATTCAGAACCAAACGCAAATTCTTCGATATAACCACCATCCGTCGTCTGGCTCGTCGTGGCGATGTCTGACGTATCTCCGGTCTGATTTGAGAGGTGTGCTGAAGATGTTCCTGAAAAATGAGATCCGTGATGCTGATGTCCTCTACAATAAAACGGCCCTTTTCAGAGCCATCAAGCTTATAACTGTAAAGAGTTGGAATAAAATTTATCTGTGCTTGTTTGTCCTAGAGTCGGTGTATAATGAGTCACGCCAAGAGTGAAGCCAAGTCTACCTATTGAACTGTCAAACCGGCTACCTATCGTGCAAAGTAAACAAGCATTACGATGCTATGAAAGGTCCACGAAAGGTATTGCAATTAAATGTAAATATAATCGAACAAATGATCATAAACACGCAGTGAGCATTACATTTGTCATGCGATACGTTTTGTAATGGTCGTTAGTGAGAATTTCTACTATTTTTCGTTAAGATAAATTGACAAAATCACTAATTTAATTATTTACTACAGCCGATACTTTTTTTCCTCGCTAGAAGTCATTTGAAGTTAATGCAGAAGTCCTCTGTTGCCAAGTGAAAAGAAAGGGAATCTTTCGAAAACCGTGATGCGAGTTCAACTGTTTTTCTCTTGGCGTGACTCATTATACACCGACTCTAGTTTGTCCATATTCAGAACCACAAGCCCCCAACGACCACACAAAATGCTCTCCAGAGTTGTAATCTTGTAACCAAACATGGAAGCAGGGGTGCAGTGATTTTGATTGATTCTCTTAATCAACTTTTTCTTTGAAAAAAAATTACTACAAATTTAGTACGCCTACAATTCAAAAACGGAAAGAGTTGAGATAATAGATAATTGATCAATTAAAAGAACTAAATGCTCTTCACATTTATTCCTTCCACTAGCGGTCCTACGTCAAGCTTCCGTTCGTGCCCCTAGGCACAGACCCTTCTACTTTTTTTACTTCAAATATGATCTTATATCGCCCCTTAAATTATTTCCACTAAGGAACCGAACACCCTATATATAAGGGAGGAAGTTGTGCGAATTTCTGCGACCCATGGATTGAGAAATGCTGCTTTACAGTCATTATTGAGTATTTTGCGGTTACCGTGTGTGGAATGTGTTACCTGCTCACTATAGAGGTTGCTGACGTTTATCGTACGCACACTACGTTACGTATACGTATACGCAAAATGTTTTCATCGGGAAAAAAAATTTCATAGCCGAAAATTTTCCCGATGAAAACAAATCACTGACACAATCACACTTTAGCAATCTCTATGGGTGCTTGTTTGCTTATGAATAACCGCCGGCTATTGCCTTTATTGCCTATTACTCACTCTGACTAATAGTATATTATAGTATGTATACTACTATGTGTAAGCTTGATCCGATTTTTTTTCGTGGAATTCGTTATCAGTGGCGTCAGCGTCATCATACGAACCTATCTCTGAACGGAAGGTGTGGTTTCATGGCAAACAACTAAACAACAATAAAATCATATTTTGAAGAAAATGGCATAACTTCCCTTTATTACATGTTAATCTATCTCGAAAGTTTTGACTTACATCATAACACTTAAATTTGTGTGAAAACGGAGCTACTTCCGTTCGAAGCAATGCGGAATGGTCGGGAACGGGCCCGTCCACGGAACGGCTTGAGATAGGTTTTGTCCTGGGTAAACTCAGCCGGTGTGTAAAACGGCCCTTCGGTTTCCAGGTAGATATCCAAGCAGGACATAGCACGCTTCAGTTGCAATGAGAGAATCGTTTTCGGGTGCTTCGGTGCCTGCAGGCTGTTGATCCAGTACTCCATGTCCTGTGGAAAGTCGTAAATAAAAAAAATAATTAAAAAGCACAGGGAAACGATGGCTCAAAGCTCACCCTAACAGCAGCATTATCAGAGGCCGAGTGCTTTCCATTCCAATTCAGCGAAAGCGACCACAGTGATGTACTTTCCGGGAAATCACACGGAACGCAAATGTAGCACTCCAGCTTTGCTGATCCACGAGTGATGATCGCCCTAAAGTACAGGTCATTTCCAGTGGAATCGCTGTGATCGATAAACTTTCCTGTTACGTTCGAAGCCACGTATTCCGAGTCCGAAAGTGCGGTCCACTGAACCAAGGTACTCGAGATGCGAATCGGATTGTTATGTTCCATGTTGATCGTGGTATCCACGTTGCCCGTTTCCAGTTCGTGAACCTGCTGATACAGTCTGAGCCTTGCTTCCCATCTGGTACGAATCGCTTTGATTATAGTCGGAATAGTCTTCTGCCATTTATCGCTAGCAGCGAGGAACTTTTCGCCAGAATCCACGAACTCGATTCCACACAGTTCCTGGGCCCATTTGTAGGGCTTGCCCAGATTTTTCTCCTTCATCATCGATATGAATTTCTCCATTCCGATGCTGACCTCCTGAATTTGGAACTTGGTCTTCGGGTTCGGACTGCCTTCACCATTATCATCCGGGAACAGTTCATTGAGAATGTTCTCCTGAGACATTACGTCTCCCGCTGCAACTCCGCTTACTTCAAATTCAACCAGCGCACACTTGACCGTAACAAATCCTGCGTTCGGGACGTACTGGAAAGTCAGAGCCAGCGATTCCTTCCCGTCTCTGCTTTTGATGGTAATCGTAACGCTCAACGGATGAGGCCTAACCAAAGCCTTACGTTTCTGCCTCATCGGGTCCTGTTGCTTGGTAGACTTGCGACGGTTGTAGCTTCCTCTGGTCTCTCGCTCGTTATCCCCTTCGTCATCAGACTCACAGTCAATGTTACCGGTTATTTCTATTTGACGAGCTTCTTCCTCATCACCCTGAACGGATGTCAATAACATTGGATCTACAAAAACAAAACACAATCTTGATATAATGTTCAAAACCAACCTACAAAACCTATCTTACCGCAAGCTTCCCCGTAGGCAGTAACATTAGCATACAGCATATATAGCGGCTGCACCAATAGTCGAACGGTTTTCTGAATCTCCCATCCCTTCTCAATCGGCATATCGAGTGCCTCCTGCAGGGGCCGTGTAGCCACCAGCAAATCCTTCAACCTCGGAGCCAACGAATCCAGCCGTTCTGTTTTCGATACGATCTCCTGTGCAATCTTTGCCTTCGATGATTGTAACTCTTTGCAATGAGCATCCAGTTCCTTTCGCTGTTGCAATTCCCACTCCAGCCTAGCGATTCGTCGGGCATGTTCATCGCTCTTGGTCTTCTCGGGACGTGAAATCGTGTCTGGCGCTTTATCGTAAAACTCCTCCACCGGTACCAGTTCAATTTCCTCATCCTGGCTTTTGAACAAATAGCACCGCTGAACCTCCTTCTTCAGGTGATCAGCTTCATAGAGCAGATTTTGCAACTGCAGTCGGTTACTGTCCACCCGTAGCTTTTCCTTGTGCAGAGCCTCCCTTCCATCGCGAATACGTACCTTATCCAATCGATTCAATTTCTTCAATGCCACGAATGCCAACGAGCCATCAACTCGCTTTTCGGCGATTTTAGCCTTCGCCTCATCGGAATTATCCTTCTTCAAAGTGGCGATTTCATCGAAAAGCTTTCGCAACTCGTCGCACGTACTGTAGAACACCTGAGCATCTTTCTCCGGTGGCCGCTTGGCGGCTTCCTGTTCCTCGAAAGCGATGGTGTTCTGCCGGAGAAACAAACGTAAACAAAAATGGTTACGGTAATGCTCATCTGAGCTTACCGCATACAGGTCCTCCTTGGATAGCTTCGTTGGGGATGTTTCATTTACGGACGTTTTCCTCCGCTTTTTGTCACTTCCTTCGCGATCGTTTGTCTCGGTTTTATTGACCATTTTCTCGTTAATATTCCCGAAAAATAGTGTGGAAAATCTGACGCATAAAAGTGAAACTCCAAACCAATATTTTTTTTTGCGATTCTACACGGTAATCGCAAAAAACTCTTTTATGACTATAAAGTACACATTTTTGAATGAAAACGGGACTACCCACAAAATGAGTAAAATTTTACACATTTATGAGTAATTACTAGTACAAAAATGAATAAATTTTATGCATTTATGAGTAACAGATACTCATAAAAGGTGTAAAAAATACACACATTTTAGGTGTAGTCCCGTTTTAGCCGAATATGCATACTTTATAGTCAAAATTGAGTCCTTTATAGTCATTTTTGCGTATTTTTCGGTTTCCGTGTATGAGGCACTGTCAAAGTAATGTAGGATTGGGCGATCTTGGGTCGTTCTTTGGAAGATCGATTTTTCCATCCAGTTTCCGATTTTCCACACTGTACCAAACCACCGTCCTCTGTTCGAATGAAACCTCAGACCATTCAAATCGAAACATCGAAATCGCCTTTTCGAATGAAAGCTGCAACCGGATGACGGTTGTTTTGAAATCAGATGATTTTCCTCTCGAATACAGGATGAACATTGTTATGAAAAGGCATAGGGCCTTCAGTTGGAATGCGTAATGCTCTCTGCAGAATGGTAATCATCTTAAATTGAAATTAATTTGGTATTGGCTCAGCCTCTTAACACAAATCATTCAAAACGATGATGTAAATAATTCTATCGAACGTCATTTTTTGCTCTGAGCAGACAAACGAGGTGGAAGCATAGCCATCGCTATCAGAAGTGGTACGAGCATTGGTAAAGAGTGGAAACCGTAAATTTTCTATTTCGTGGTGGAGGAAGTTTCCTCTACCAACCAATAAGGATTTTTTGTATCCATAATGTTCATGGCTAATCAATATGACAATGTAAACAATCGAATTAATAATCTAATTTAAAGCATTTTCAAGTCATCCTATTCTTAAATTGTTGTCCTCTGAGCCTGAGTTTTACAGCCAATTTTCAAATAAATATCATACTTTATTTGGAGGACAGTCATATGGATGCTCATCAGTTGATGACGAATTCAACCATTAGGAAATCATCCGACATTCGACAGCATATTGTTAAAGGTCTCGAGCAATACAATAATCAGTTGAAGTATTACGGATGTGTTCGTTCAGTGCAGCCCAGTGGCAGGCGCGTAGGCAACATGTTATTGTCGCGCTTATGTTAAATTCTCATTTGGTGACGGTCGAAACGCGCCGCTCATAAGCGCGATGCAACTCCACCCATAAGGATTATACACAGGTGTGTAAATTAGATAGTATTTTATGGCAGCGGCTTGAGGAGTGAATCCTGGATAAATAGCCGCCGTGTGTTAAATAAATGGGCACAGTCGTGCGGCCATAAACAGAAAGCAGATGGTATAATCCCATTTGAGAAATTATCCTGCAACACACAATATACATGTTATGAGATCAATTTAATCAGTCGATCGATTCTAGAGCCAAATATAAGATCGATCCTTCTCTGAAGATCGCCCAATCCTAAAATAATGACCCGACCAACCATAAGCACATGAACCCCTCGTTATCAACCGTGCTGCCAAAAAATGATGTGTGTTTTGTTTTACTTCCGAGTTACATTCATGCTAACACACACTAATGCAATGCGATTGTTTAGTCGATAAGCGTGATTAATTCACCTAAATTAGTTAGATTGCAAACCTTTAACTAAACAGGTTGATGATATTTTCATATATTATTAAGCATTATTAAATAATAAAGAATGTATTAATATCTAGCAAATAACTACAATTTCAATGGGATGCTACTATCTGCCTTTGAGCGGCTTGTAATATTGATACCTATAATCATATTTCCCAAAACCGGTAAATACAAAACATAGAACAATAAGTACACAACAACACATCTTACGCACATGGTTATAGAAAAACATCAAGTTGATATCCTTCATATCACGATTACTTTTCTTATCATTTTTGCGCTGGTAAACAGAAAAGTACAGTAGTTCTACAGCAAACCTTCCATGTTTCAACGGCTACTCCGAACCGGATTGGTTACTGCTTACATAAATTCCGCCGCGTTCACTTGTATCAATCGTACGTTTACCATCGGAGAAAGTGTCGCAAAAATGAGTCTGGATCAGGCCAAGAAGATCGCCGCTTTCAAAGCCGTGGATGAGTATGTAAAAAATGATACAGTGGTAGGAGTCGGCAGTGGCTCGACCGTAGTCTACGCCGTGCAGCGACTGGCCGAACGGGTGAAAACCGAAGGACTGAAATTAGTATGCATTCCGACGAGCTTCCAGGCGCGTCAGTTGATTATAGATAATGGTCTGGTGCTAGGGGATTTGGAGCAGAATCCTAAGATTGACTGTGCCATCGATGGTGCCGATGAGGTTGACGCCGATATGGTCCTAATCAAAGGCGGTGGCGGATGTTTGCTGCAGGTTAGTTTTGGGGGTTGATTTTACAATTGAGCATTGCTCTAATGGTGTTCATGCTTTACAGGAAAAAATAGTGGCTTCCTGTGCTGATCAGCTGATTGTAATTGCCGATTATACTAAGAATTCCAAGAAGCTCGGAGAACAGTACAAAAAGGGTATCCCGATCGAAGTTGTTCCAATGGCGTATGTTCCGATAAGGAATAGGGTGGCTGCCAAATACGGGGGTAAATTGAATCTTCGAATGGCCGTTGCAAAGGCTGGTCCGGTCGTAACGGACAATGGAAATTTCATTCTCGATTGGCACTTCCCGGAAGGCGACTTCGACTGGGATGCCGTCAATCGGGACATCATGATGATTCCTGGTGTGGTCGAGACTGGGTTGTTTGTAAAAATGGCATCGAAAGCCTATTTCGGTCTTGCCGATGGATCTGTCACCGAAAGAACTGCCTAACAACAACGTACAATAATTTCTCACTCAAAGTTTATTGGTGTTTGATGCAGCTATCATAATATGTTCAATAAATAAATAACAAAAGAGCAAAAAACGGAGATGTATCTATCGATGGTCAATAATGTTGATGATGGCAGAACGTTTCACATTTTGTTCTTCAGTTGGATTGATTACGGTGGTACGGAGATCGTTTGCTTAAAATGCTTTCTTATTTCGCTCCGGTAGAAGCGATTCCTTGGCAAAGTTAAATAGCGACAGCAAGCCTATCTTCTTCCGACTGGAGAAGTAGTTTGTCACCACGTCGTTATCACCTAAAAGATGCGTTCTTTCGTTGCTGGTTGGCAGAACATTGTCATTGGCCGATAGTGACACAAACAGCGCAAACGGCACCAACCATAGGCACAACGTAAAGTATGCCATTACCTATAACAGAACGATGCAAAAAAGAAAATAGATTAAAATCGTTTCCCTCAAGTTTGCGTAATCCAATTACCTCCGTGAATGGATGGAACTGCTGTTGGAAATAGATGAAAGCCAAGTAGTGATTCAATAAAAGTAATATCACAGCACCCAGAAAGCTGGGCGAAAGGAACTTCACGTATGGGAAGTTCTTCAGTATGGCTGCATGTAAGCCCTGGGCTCCAACACCGCAGAGTATCAACGTCCAGGTGAAACGTTCCGTAAATATGAACACCGCGTAAAGTAGAACCGACCCGACGATCATCCAAGTAATGACCTTCTTAGCCATGACCGTGTATTCCTCTACCAGTTCGGCTAGATAGTAAAGGCCAGCAGCTGCAAGTAAACAGAACATTGATCATCATTTGGACCGAAGCCAAAAACACCCCGTGCCAATGGGAAACTCCTGCTTTTTTGTGCAGTAGGGTTTGCGTATTCACAACAGATTTTTTTTTTTCTTCTGGGAGCTGCCCATTGGCCACCTTGATGGCGGGAACCAAAACAAACCTATCGATACGGTTACGAAGCAGATCTGCACCAACAGTGAGACATAGCTCAGCAAACTGAGGAAAGTCATTCTGTGCTCGAGTTACTTCACTTTTTTTTTAATTTGATGCACTTTGAAGGATAAATTGTCACGAAACTTACAGCTAATCAAACTATCTACAATTTATGAGTTCATTTTCACCGAGGAAAATTTTGTTTTTCACGATCTTCAGCCGCAGACGACACCGTCGTCGGCACAGAGAGAGAAAATGCGATGTGGAACAAGATCGAAGTGATCATCAAACGCAAAAAAAAAACCTCGAACCACCGTTTCGGTGAGAGCGATGAGTCAAAAACGGAATGACATCGAGAAACGTCACATTGTGGCCCTTTGGAAACGCGTTATCAGCAAGCGAGTTAGACCCAATGAGCGTGAACTCGGTGTAAACAGGTGAGGCAATAGTTTCTCCCGCGCCGGTGGTTGAGTGCTCGGTTTAGTGGGATGCACAGCAAAAAAAGTTGTTGAATATTACATCGAAACTGCTGCAACCAGGTCAATCAATCGGTTGTGTAATATCACATTGTACGATGTACATCGATTTTGCGAACAAAATTACATCCATTGATGTAATATTGTATCTGCTTTTTGCTATTACATCATTATTTCATACATCAGCTTGAATTACGTTGATTGATATTACATTTTTTTTTTGCTGTGTGGACGGCAGTGCTGAGATTTGTCATTGTCATTGACAGACTTTTGCGCGATATCGACAAAATTGTTTTTCACATATAGCGAATTCGTTTATTATCGGGGTTGGAACCAGTTCCAACCCAGTGCGAAACCGAACTTTTTGTCAGTATGAACCTCAACCTGAGCTAGGTTTTAAAAACAAACGAGCAAACTGACGTTTGTCAGAAAACAAGCAGACCCAATCTTGATACCCGATCCAGGTTGGAACTGAATAATAAACGAATTAGCTAATAGTCAATGATAGACTTGATCCTCAAAAAAATCTTTGTCAAAATCTCATTCATTTTTTCGTCAATGACAAAGATTCACCTGGTAACAGAAAGGGTAATTTCTTGCATTCTGAGACACATTATTGTTATCCAAGCTGTTCAGGCCGTAGATGCTTGTTCACTTTAATGGCTCCATGTAATTGTTTTCCTCAAGCCATTTAATTTCATTTTCAATTTAGCTAATAAACAAATCAGCACATGTTCGTCACTGACAAAAATGCCACTGACAATTGACATGGTTTGCCTTGACGATGACTGTTAGCTCAAACGAGTGACCAAAGCAGAATTTTGAGTATCACCGTGTGTTGTCGAAATTGTGCAGCACTGATGGACGGTGCCGGTGGTTGAGTGGTAAGCGTGACTGCTTTCTCACCCCAATGGGTCTAGGTTCAATCCGAGCCGAGGTCGGTGGGTTTCTTCTGAAGCATAAAAATGTCTGGTCACGTCTTCCTTCGCAAGGGAAGTAAAGCCGTTGGTCATGTGTGTGTTGTGAATGGCTGCACGGAGAAAAAATACTAAACAAAATTTGAGTTCTTTCTACTTAATATTGAGTTCAGCCTCTCACTTGCACTCTTTATTGTTGTCAAAAAAGGAACGAGAGATTCGACCCAACGATATAGTTCAACCCAATTAGTTACTTTTGAGTAAATTGTATATTCTCCAATTTACGCGAATTAAACTTAATTTTGGGTAGAATATATTTAAGAGTAGGCGTTTTTTTTTTGCTGGTGTTAAATGGAAACTACTATACATATCTGATTTACTCATATTTGGGTTATTGGGCTGAACCCCAAAATTGAGGGAAAAGTACTTGATTTTGGGGAGTTTTTCATCTCCGTGTGCGATATCCTACGCAGGTGTGGAAGAGGCCTTTCTGCACATTCGATTGCCGTCAGTGGATGGCAATCGATGTCCGTGGGTGATTGGCTCTAGATTGCGGAACAGAGACCGACGTTAGATAAAGGAAAGAAGAAGAAGAAGACAGGTTCTCCAGCTATTAGGTTTTGCACCGTCGGGGTTAACCTCAATCTGATGGCAGTTCAGTGGTACTGTTTACTTGGACTTAGTCGATTTTTTCTTGGGTAGATTTTCTGGATTATTTTTCAGATTGCAGTGAGATGTAAACCACACTTTTGCAATGTACACGAGCAACATCCTTTCATCACGCATTTCCTCGACAAATTTCAAGTTATAATTCGGAAATCTTAGAATATTTTTTTCCGAAAAAACTTGTGCTTGTAAACAGTACCACTGAGCTGTCAAAAGGGTTTAGCCGATTAACATTGAGTTCATTTGTGACGTCACGCTACAGTACCTGATTAGGTTCTGAAGCGTGACGTCACAAATGAACTCAGTGTTAATAGGCAGAACCTTTTTGACATTTCAGTGTTACTGTTTACCTCTGTTTACAAGTAATTAGTCGTTTTTTCAAAAAAAAAAAATATTTTAAAATCTTCGAATTGTAACTTGAAAATTGTCGAGGAACAGCACGGTGAAAGGATGTTGCTCGTGGATAATGCAGAAGTGTTGTTTACATCTCACTGCAGTCTGAAAAATTATCGAGAAACCCGCATAAACGCGAACCATAAATTGACCTTACCGATAATGGTTATAAATTGTTTATAATCCCTCCTTAACTTTAACTGAAATGGTTTTGGAACCTTACATGAACGTTTGTGTGATAAAGTTTTAACCTTATGTATTATGGTTTTTAGGAAGCGGACCTTACAAATAATGGGTCGTTAAGAACCATTACCATTCCAAATTCTTGTTTTCTCCATACATTTTCGGAAAGAGAACTATATTAGAACGTTTTTACTTATGGTTTGAGAACATTAATGCAAGAGCAAATTTTCATTACGTCGAATGTAACAAAGGTAAACAAAGTCGAGCTATCAGTGTCAATCGATTCTCCTGCTATTACACTATATACTGTCCGAATATAGGATCAAATCCCATTTTTAAATTTATTTACCAGTCAAATTGCTTTTTGACGTAATCACCTTCCGATCAAAATAGTTTTCGATGTTACTTAAGTCACCCAATTTCTATGGAGATGCCGTTTGACTTAAGTAACAGCGCTGAGAAACCCGTGAAAAGTGTACGTTCGTCGTTTCGCTTTCTCATTATTAAAGTGAATAAATCGAACTGTTTGTTGCTAAGATGATTTCGGTGGTCCTAAAATGATGAATGGGCTGCACGTGAGGAGACGTAATTGATAATTCTCCCGAATATCCTGGTAAATACACTTTGACTTAAGTAACAATAGGGGCCACCAAACGACGTATAATAACTTTTGACTCAAAAACCAGTATTTTTTACCATGTGTCGCCGCCAAAAGCTACTTTCTTCTCCGGTTAGGGAGAGTCTTTCGCTTTCAAGTCAGACACTGTTTCTCGATTCTAGGAGCTACTTTTTTCCCCGGTTAAGGAGAGAAGTTTTCACTTCTAGGCCGAAAGTTCTTTCGGATTCAAAAAAAGAGAAGAATCTGGAGTAACCTATGAAACTTCATTTTATTCAACAAAATTGTACAAAGTGATCTTACAGCTACGTGTTGCATTAGCAACTTATAATTATGTAAAACTTTTACTTGGTTCGTCCAGGGTTTTACATATCCCTTTCAATACCGGACTTTTGACCTAATTTTGCCTATTCTATTAGCTAGGATTTCGATCGCCCTTGAAAGGGTAAATTTGTGTTATTTGGATCTTATATACTATGCCCTCTCAGATCTGGGATTTCTCAGGTTATCTTGTAAGTTTATTTCTTTTTGTAACTCAGATCTGATATGGCTCTACAAATAAGAATGAGACATTTGTAACGTTTAAACATTATAATTATATCCTTCGTTAAGGATAAACAGAGAGGGAAAGCTAAACGTAACCTAGATGCGCAAGCATGCCATGCGTGGGCGTGTTTATCCTACTTGAACGCAGAAACGTTCCTAAGTAAATACTGCAGTTAGATTATGTAAAACGAGCTCTCGCTCCTTTTGCCCTACTTTTCATTTCATATTCTTGGCCTTGGTATCAACGTCAGCTAGGGCTATGCAAACGGGATGCAACTATGTGGTTATCTTATGGTTTTGGTTTTAAATTAATTGCCTCGCGGTAACATTCCGGAGCCCGTA